TTATTATTATTATTATTATTATTATTATTATTATTATTATTATTATTGGATTGTTTCTGTTACTTTCGCTGGGGTTCTCTGTTTCCCATTCCTCTTTAGAAAGTAATGTCGTACCCAGTTGTGGTTATTGACAATGGTACGGGCTATACCAAGATGGGCTACGCCGGCAATGAGGAGCCAACATACATTATACCTTCTGTGTATGCCGATAATGAAGCGGCCAGACGACGATCTAATGATGTATTTGATGATCTTGACTTTTACATTGGAGAAGAGGCCGCCGCACGGGCCGGGTCCTGCAGTATATCGTATCCCATCAAACACGGCATTGTGCAGGATTGGGATAAGATGGAGCGTATGTGGCAACACTGTATATATAAATATCTGCGAGTGGAGCCAGAGGAACACGGATTTATTCTCACAGAACCACCGGCCAATCCACCAGAGAATCGAGAGTACACCGCTGAAGTGATGTTTGAGACATTTGGTGTTAAACAATTACACATTGCCGTGCAAGGCGCACTCGCACTGCGGGCCTCATGGACATCCGGCAAATCGCAGGAACTCGGCGTGGCTGGAAATGATACTGGAATCGTCATTGACTCCGGTGCGGGAGTAACACATGTTATTCCCATTGTAGATGGATTTGTAATGAATCAAGCTATTCATCATATTCCACTCGCTGGAAGAGATATCACGAACTTTGTTTTAGAGAGACTCCGTGAACGTGGGGAACCCGTTCCACCCGATGATGCCCTTCTACTAGCACAACGTATAAAGGAACAGTATTGCTATATTGCTCGTGATATTGCAAAAGAATTTAATACATATGATCAAAACCTTCCCAAGTACATCACTAAACATCATGATGTGAATAGTAAAACTGGACAAACCTATACAGTGGATGTGGGGTATGAAAAATTCCTTGGACCGGAGGTTTTCTTTCACCCAGAAATATTTAGTAGTGAATGGACTGTACCATTACCAGAAGTAATTGATCAAGCCGTATGGGCATGTCCTATCGATTGTCGACGTCCACTTTATCGTAATATTGTCCTTTCTGGAGGAACTACTATGTTTCCAAAGTTTGATAAAAGATTACAAAAAGACTTGCGAGCTATTGTGGATCGTCGGGCGAAAAAATATATGGCCGCATCCGGAGATCCCAATCGGCAGATTTCATATGAAGTAAATGTGGTATCACATGAACGACAGAGATATGCTGTGTGGTATGGGGGAAGTATGTTAGGGTCAAGTCCAGAGTTTGCCAGCATAACGAAAACAAAGAAAGAGTATGAAGAGTATGGTCCATACATTTGTCGACAAAATAACATGTTTCATTCTATTTTTGAATAGTTGTTTTGTGTGATAATGGGATAAAGGGGGGTGTTTTCTGTTGTACAAAAAATATATATTCTCTACACACACATTGTGTTTATATATACCTCTCTTTCTCTTTGGACTCCCAGTGTTATCGAAGGACGACTATGCGAATAGTAAAAAAAAAAAGTTATAGTGAAAATGGGAGTTATTCTTCTTTATTTATTTAGGAAGACAATGGTTTATAAAATATGAAATGAAATGACTGCTTCTAATCTCTCTTTCTCTCTCTTTTTTTTTTTTTTTAATTTCATTTTGTTGTGATCCATAGCACCAAAAAGACTGGTGTAGAGTCGTACAGGATTTTCTGTGTTTGTGTTTGTGTGTGTGTGTGTACATGTGTGTTACTGTATACACCATAAATATACATTATAATATACATAAACATAATATTTATTTAAATCCGAGAGGAGAAATAGAGTAACAACAACAACAATAACGGTTCCACCTGTATCATTCTGTTCACTCTTTTCACGTAAAGAGGTAACGGCGGCATTCCGTGCATTAGATGAACACGCCCTCTTTGATCGTGTCTCGCCTCTCTTTCACGTGAGTCGACGACAAAACACTTCAAATGCCCCGCCAGCAAAAATAGAATTATCCGTACGACTTCACCGTCTGTGTAATGTAGACAAAGAGACACTCCCACGGCAGGATATTATTCCTCCGTCAGTACTGCACATCTCTCGCGGCCTTGAAGCGGCGGCCATGCAGTTTGCCCAACAGGCGTTGTCGCATCCACACATCCCGCCCATTGCCCGCGCGGAGTTTCTTCATAACATTAGAAGACGTTCTGTCTTTCGCATTTGGCGCTACAACTGCGGTGTGGGTTGTCGACCGCATTATGATCCCGGCCTGTGTACACTTCTCTTGAAGGCATCCGCGCCGGGGCTGGAGGTGAATCTGCAGGAATCACTGCCATCACTGCCGGGCCGGCCGGGGAATTACTGTTATGATAATACCGATAAACACAATTTAGTGGAATCGCTGCCCGGGTGGACGGCGCCCACTTCACAGAGAGAAGAAGATGACACCATCGTATTGTGTGGGGAAATGATGCGGGTGTTGTCGAATAACGCCATTCCGGCGGTTCTCCACCGCGTCCGGGCCGATTGGGCCACCGGCGGTGAAAATGAAAAAGTGCGGTATAGTTTTGTGTTGGAGTTACGCCCAGCAGAGCCGCAGCGATGGTATAATCTAGTACAACAGGAGAAGAAAAGAAGAAGTCTTTAACGAATGAATCGTTGGAATAGTGATTGTGTGTGTGTGTCTCTCTCTCTTTTTCAGAGTGAATGAGAGAAAGAATGTGTTTGTGTGTGTATTTGTGGAAAAGAGAAGATAAAATATCAAAATACAGACAAAATGATGGGACAAAGCAAACATGATGAAATTAACGGGTGTGTTTTTATTTCTTTTATACATCTTTGGAGGGAGAGATAGAGAAGTAAATTTGTTCTTGTTGCTATTGTTGCTTGAGGTGGTTATGATGTTGGGTGGTGCAAACAATATAAATTGGGGCCTAATTTTTTTTTTTTTTGCGTTTTTTTTTTTTGTTTTGATATATATATATATATGCCTTTTTACAAAAAATAAAAAATAAAAATAACGATATGTTAGCTTTTCTTTGTCTGGCGTATATATTCGCTGTACTGGAGAAGTAAGTAAGTGAGTGGGGAATTCCTGTTTGATGCTCTACCTCACCCCAACCTTAATTCAGGCCATCAATGCAGCTCAAGTAGACCAATTAACACAAGTGACACAGTTCGTGCTTTCCTCATTTCAAGGCAATAATAATAATAATAATAATAATAATAATAATAATAATAATAATAATACATTTAACCCATCATCATCATCAACGACAACAACAAAAACAGAATCAACAAGAACAGACACACCAGAGATGTTGGATGCTGTTGCATGCCTTTATTCTGAGGCTGTTCGATTTCAATATGATGCGGTTACATTTCGTGAGGCACTTCTCTCTCTACCCATACAAAACCAAAAGGCCATTGTGCTTTCTGATGCCTTTGAGGGAGCTGTGGATGCGCTGCAGAAAAACAACATGAGTGTACAAACACATCCCTCATTCTTGCCTCAATTAACAGGTCTCTCGTGGTCTTTATCGCATGAGTTAGGGGATCGTACACGTACTCCCATAACACCATCGAAACCTCTTTTTGAGTTTCAGTTCACTGGCAACGGCTGTAATATAAAGAAGAAGAAGACGGCCGCCAATGAGGGAGTGGAGTGTGAAGAGAAGGAAGAACAACTGGCGACGGTCGCTTGTACACCCGCACAAGCGGAAGACTTATTGGTGACACTGAAAGAAATGATTGCGGAGGCAAAACGTCTTGCCCAGTGAATGATAGTGACTGTATGGATAAATAGTGAGAAGAAAGTACTATGAAGTGCAAGGGTTCTGAGAAGAATAAGAGAAGAAGAGGAAGAGAGAGAAAAAAAGAAAAAAAGAAACATAAGTATTTTTTCTTTTCTCGTCTATAGCTTTATGTGTGATTGAACAGACTGTTGAGAGGGAGAGCGAATGAGTGGGGGTATATTATGATTATTATTATTATGTTTCTTCTATTTCTTCTTGAGTCTGTCGTATTCTTATTTGTTAATGTGCTTCATTTTCTCTTTTTTTTGGTACGTGTTCAAGTGTGTGGAGATTTGTGATACAATCTCCTTTGCTGTTATCGTTATTTCGTGTTCTGCAGATATGCCAGTAGACGTTGTGGTTAAAGACATTGAAGGATGTTAAGTACACCTCAATGTTGCCCCTGTTTCCTGTGCTTTACATTTTATTGTTTTTATTTATGAATCTTTTTTTTTTTTTTTTTTTTTTCACATTTCTCAAGTTTAGCGTTGGAGAAAAACCTCGCCGCCCCGTATCTGTTCACAGAAACTGATTCTTATACATATATTGTATATAATATACAATATATATATAATATTCTTGAAGGATAAAGAAGAAAAGAAAAAAAAAAGAAAGCGAAGTAACTCCTGTTTACATCTTGTATTGAATCCCTTTTTTCAAATATGTCTTTTGGACGTCCGTTTGCGGGAAGACCGGTGACTTCTCCTTCTGCTGCTTCTCCTGTTCCTGCTGCTAGCAGTACTAGTAATAATAATAACAATAATAATAATAATAATACTACGGCGAACTCGGCTGCGAGTATGGGGGATGTACGCCCCCTGCAACGCAATGGCCCGCGCTGCACCTCATCAACGTTAACATCTACACTTCCGCGGCCGCAAAACTCCGCCGGTGGCGAGAGGCGCACGGGTGGAGCGATGAAAGGACTGCATGGAAGTACAGACAACATCACTCATATTTTACAGCGTGAGTTGTGTAATGCTGCCATGCGTAATGAGCCGAATTCGGTTGGAACAACACGTGAGGGCAGTAGCGGCAGTCATGGGAATAGTAATGGCCAGAGTGGGATGGAGTACACTGGACCGCTCACGCCTGATAAGATGCAAAGCGCACTTTCTATGATTATTAAGAAACAGAACTCAGAATGGGATTCGAGACGTTATTCTCTCTTAGAACGGCGGGATATTGAATTGGTCCGTGCACGTCGACGGGCCACTGCGGCGGGCGACACATTAAACAGTAACAAATCTACAGAGTCATGCTGTATGCTCTTGCATACCCTTCTCGAAGAGTCACGGCGGCAGTGGGGAGAGTTATTATCCACTCGTGTGAATGCACTAAAGCGTGAAGTGCGACACGGTGAGAATAATAATAGTAATAATAATAAGAATGGGAATGACAATAACAAGAATATGAATGACGATACCGATAGTGAAGATGTAGAATGGTCAGCAATGCAGCTTTATAATATACTGCTTGCTGGTGTTAACAGTAACGCTACGGAGAAACTGCTGCACACACTGCGGCTTATTAATGCGGATTCCTGCAATGATGCCATTGATGCCTTTGGTCTCTTAACGGTATTCCGCGCCCCTATTCAAGAGTTACTCATACAGCATGAGGCACTCGCCCCGAGTCTCACTACACTGCGACACTACTTCGCCGCCTTACATCCATCCAACGGATCCCCAAAAGCCACAGCATACACAGAACCATCTCTGCATGATGCGGAAGTGAATCTTCATGAGTTTCTGCAGCACGGTGGTACACCAGAGACGATTGCAAAGGCCCTGCGGGGAACTGTGAGTCCCTCATTGCGACGATTACTGTACGCAAGAGCTTTACAACTCCCCCTCACGGCAACTGATGGGGTATCACTCTTTGGAGGACGTGGGGAACTACAGGCGAATCAACATGGAGACTTTGTTGCGGGAAATCTTACCTTCGCTACAAAATACTGTCGTGATAAAGTTAAACGTCGATTACACCACAGTTATTCTACAAAAAGTCAAGAGTCTACAGCAAAACTCTTGCAAGCTATAGTGAAGATAGACAATTTACAGTCTGTGGGTAATAATGATAGATATTTCATTTTTTCTGATGAGACAGAACTCTTGGGAATTTCACTTGTTCTCGATAAGAGTATACCAGATGTACGTTTGGGGAATACATTACGCCAGTTGGGTCGTCCACAGCAACAGGTGGAATCCTATTTGGTGTTCCTAGAAGACTCTATGGATGAGAATACTCAACAACAACAACAACAACAACAACAACAACAAAAACAACAACAAAAACAAATCCTGAGAACACCTCCTAGTGGTTTTTTTCCTCTTCGAAATTCCACAATGCTCATTGCACCTCTCTGCTACGTGACAGGGGACACTGTAGAGCAGTATGAATTGGTGTCTGCCTTCTTTGGACAGTTGTGGTCCCGTATTCAAGGACCCACACCGGAGTTACTGCAGTGTTGTTGGGTGTTTGAAGCATTGACCACACGTTTTGCGGCAGCAGCGTGTCTTCACGCCACCCGCACTCTTCGCTATCCACCGCTGCGTTTAGCCATTCCATGGATTCTCTCTGCCTTTACAGAAGTGTTGGAACCGGCGGAGTTGCTGAGTTTTTGGGATCTTATTCTTTCTTATCATGTAGAGGAAATGTTTAGTGATATCGCGGCGCTCTCATTGCCGGTGGATGAAAGTCTGGCGGAGCGGCGCGAAGGGACTTGCAGGCCGAGTGCCTTGTGGCTGTTGCCATTATTGGCGGCGAGTCTCTTTGTGTACCGGGCCCCACTCGTGGAGCGCTGCGCCACCGCTGATGAGATGCTGCTGGTGTTTAAGGAGGCACACCACGTGCGATGTAGACCACTCTTGCAGTATCTGCTCTTTATGGCTAAGTGAGGAAAAGGAGAAGGAGGGATAAGGGGAACGAAATAAGAACGAAAAAAAAAGAAAAATGAAAAGAAGAAAAAAAGAGAAAAAAAAAGCGGAAGAAGAAAGAAAAGAGAAGGAAAGGGGAGAAAAACAAAAGCTGGAGTGTGAAAGAAAAAACAAAAGATTAAACGGTGGTGTAGCTACCATATCATGTGACCATATGGGAGGAGAGGGATATATATATATATATATATATCTTGTGCAAATTTCTTTCACTTCTCTTTTTTTTTTTTATGTATTCTTTGTTTTTATTTTGCAATGTTGCAAGATTTGGTTTATTTTTTTTTTTTTTGTTCTTCTTTTGTTTTGCTGTGTTTACCTTCCTTTCCCCCCTCCCTTCTTAATTTACTCCGTCTGTGATTTGTTTTCACTTTACGGAGATTTTGTGAGGGTATACTTTCAACCCCCTTTTCAAGATAATATTGATATATGTATTAATACTTTGAATCGGCGATAGACCTTTTCCTCTCTTACTCTGTGTATTCCATATTTATATACAGAGCGATATCTATATCCATACATACATTGTAGAGAGTGCCAATATTTGTTCATGATGTCTATTGAAGAACTGAGGCGGGAGGTGGAGGAGCAGGAGTCCCTCGTGGAGGATCTCCGCCGGGCAAAGGCACAACGCGAAGATTTACTTAAACAACTGCGAGAACTTGTGCAGTGTGCAGAGCCTAAACTATTCGCAGAACTAAACGATGACGTACGCGATATCTTAAGCGTTCTCACAGAGAAAAGACAAAATGACCATTCATCCAATAAAGATTCTACAAACTCTGATGACCATATCAATAATTCGCCAGAGTTGCTCCTATTTAGTAAAGAGATGGAGGAACGCATTATGCAAGAGGAAGAGCCTTCTTTTTCCGATCCACCAATATTCTCTACGGAACATGATAGCGAAGGGAAAGGACGACGAAAGAAAAAGAAAAACAAGAAAAAAAACAGGAAGAAGAAAGAGAATGAAAAAGAAAAAGAAATGGAGATAAAAAAGGTACAGTATGTAGATCCATGCAGAACAGTGTTTTCTGCGCGAGAACTCAGTGCGAGAGAAGCACTTTTGGCTGCTGTAGACGCTATTCAAATTGAATGCAAAACATCATTGGTAGAAAATAATGGAGATAAGGCAAATGAAAAGATTCCCATATGGTTAGATGGCGAAAACGTGCCGCCACAAAAGTTAGACAATAACGAAAAAGGAAATGACAATGAAGATCCATACTACTCAGATGACTTTGAATAGTTTCTTATTGTGTGGAATTCGAATGCGTTTCCAAGAAGTGAAATTGAGATGAGTAACATTGGTTATTATTATTATTATTATTATTATTATTATTATTATTATTATTATTATTATGGTGTTCACTTTATTTCTTCTAATGTGCTCATGATGGTTTTTCTTTTCTTTTTTCTTTATTTATTTTTTCAAGACAAACTGTGCGGCGACGAATGAGTGTTGGTCGTCCTCTACCGCTCTTCCTCATATTTGATATCGACAACACACTTCTCTCCGCATGTAATCGTTTCTCTGCGGTCTTTCCATTCACGTCCACCACTACACTCGCCCAGCAGCAGACACTACGCTATCGTGAAGCCGAACGCGGTCAGTGTCTGCGGGCCTGCACCATCACTCTCCGCCCACACCTGCGGGAGTTCTTACAACTGCTGGATGGGGCGTTAAACACATCACGTGTGAAAGTACAGGTGGGATTGTTTACACGGAATACATCCTCATATGCAAACGCTATAGCAGAACAAGTGTTGCAGCCATTCATGCGAGAACGGTTTGCTTTTGTTTTTGGTGGTACACATTGTACATGTGGGAATGAGCGGAAGAAACCGTTGAGTGTTTCCCCACTTCCTGCCACCTCACTTCTTATAGATGATAGGTATTCTTCTTTTATTGCAGATGAGTTTTTTAGTGGTCGTGGGGCTTTAGTACAGCCATTCTTTAACGGTATGAGACCTTGGAGCCCAGAAGATGAAATGGATGATGTCTTATCCTGTTCTTCTTGTGTTGGTAGTAGTTTAACTTTTCAGAACTCTGATTCTAACCTTTATGAGAGTGATGATCTTATTTTTTATCATCCTCAACAGAAAGGTGAGGATGGTAATTTATGTTGTGATGTTTCGTTATGTTTGTTAATAAAAGAGTTTGTGGCATTTTGGCACAATAACATTCACTATTATGAAAGTGAAGAAAATGTTGTAAACTTACTGCAGGATCCACGCGCTGCACGTTATCGTGATTGTTGGTATAATTATCATTCTCCCATGGAGGAGCATGTGCTGTGTATCTCTTAATAGAGATGGAAAGAAAAGAGAGGGCAACACCAGAATTCTATATGTTTATCTTCACAATAACTGTTTTTTTTTTTTTTGTTATGTTCTTGTTCACAGTAAAAATAAAGAAGCTCTTTATTTTTTTTTTTGGTTCTTCTTTGGGAATTTGCTGCATTAATTATTTCTAATGATAATTGTTTTTTTTTTTTTTTCTTAACCTTGTTGCTTTTGTATTCCATGTGGTTTTTTTTTTTATATGTATGACTGAAGAGAGTATTTATATCATGATGTCATTAACTTGAAGTGTATGTTTACACCACGCAATCTTTTGAACCTTAGCTTGAAATACCATTTTTGTATTTTTTTTTTTCTTTTTCTTTTTTTTTCTTTTTCTTCTTTCGTTATATATATATATATATATATATATATACATATAATATTGATTTCACCATCCTTCTTCTTCTTCTTTATTAGGCAAAAGGTCACTACTATTATTTAACGTACTGTCTGTGTTGCGTGATTGCTGAATTTCACCCCTCCGTTATTTCTAGAAGCCGCCATGTTATCCAGCGACACCAATAACCCGCGGGAGGACTGTGTGTTTCTCTCCGTGAAGGGGTCTGTACGCCGCGCTGGCTGCGGAGGCCCCGGCGCTGTGGTCGCGCTCCTGCGTGAGTTCCGCGAGTTGGAGGAGGAGCAACACGCCCGTGGGGAGAAGGGCGTCACTCGTAAACTCTTCATGGAATTACTGCAGGACTTTGGTGTGCGGCTCAGTGAGAGTGAGACCGCCTACGTGTGTGCCGCCTTCGACGACGACCGGGATGGCTACATCACCTCCACTCGCTTTGTGCGGCACCTCACTGGATTGAATGAACGGCGGCACAAGGCGATACTGCGTGCGTGGGAAGTGTTGCCAAAGAATGAAAAGGGTGAAGTGCCGCGAACAGAACTGCAGGATCGATATGCACGCACTGGGACTCGAGCGGATTTGACAGCCACCTTCTCTACCGCACAAACAGAGAAACCTCTTCTTCATCATCCTATGGGAAGTAGCTATAAGAATACTACTACTAAGAGTGAGAAGACTAGTGGTAATGATGGTGTGAGTCTGGAGGAGTTTATTGCCTTCTACGCTGCTGTAAGTCCGGAAATTGCGGTGGATGAACAGTTTGAGTTGTATATGTTGCGTGAGTGGGATGCGGATGCGCCTGCACGACCAACGATGAGTGAAACACATCGCGAATGGGGACCCAATGGTGATCCACTTGCCATTACAAAACCACTTTTGGTGCAAGACGCACTTAACACTTCCCTAGCGACTTCAACAAAGCAATACAATTACTCTCATATGCAACGAGTTCATCCATATGTAGAGCCACTGCCGCCGCTAGAACGAGATTATCTGAGTATCACCAAGCGTGATTTCCGTCCTTATACAAAAGAGGAACAATCTATGGCAGACACACTTTGTCACCGCTAGGAAAAAGGGGATGAAGATATGCCTACATATATATACATATACGTATATACATATATATATATATATATATATGTATATATTATACATCATTATATGCTTCTATGAGTATGTGACTACATTGTGGGAAGTACAGTGGAAAGGAAAAAAAAAGGAGGACTGAGAGGGAGAGAGAAAGAAAGACATATATTTTATTGTAGTAGATGAAAGTATGTATTGTTAGACTAATTGGAAGAAAAAAAAAATGGCAAGAAAGAGGATAGAAAAAGGTGATAACTCTTCTTCTTCTTCCTATTTATTTGCCATTCTTTTTTTTTTGTTTTTCAATTTGTCTTTGCCTGTTTTTTTTTTTTTTGCTTTTTTGAACCTCCTTTTTATTTTGAAAAGAAATCATGTTGCTGAATGTATAAAAGAAATGAAATGAACAAGTGGAGTGAATTCAATACTCTTGTCATTGTTTTTTTTTTTTTTTTATCGTTTTATATTGTTTTTCATTTTTTTTTTTTTCAACGGTTGAACTCTTGCTTTGCCTTCATTTTTTTTTTCTCCCATTATTCTTGTGGATGTATATTTCTGGATGTAAAAACAAAAACAAAAAACACAAGTAAAAAAGAGAGAATTTGTTTCGCTTCAGAGGGAGCGAAAAAAATATATAAAGTACAAAAATGCGTATTGCGGAGAATACTGCCAAGATACTTTCGAATGTACCGTTACCTGATGAAGTTTCTGTAGTGCACCGTCAGGCTGCTATTGTAGATATTGGGAGTTGTACCACCCGAGTTGGCTTTGCTGGCGATGACACACCTCGCCTTGATGAACCCACTTGTGTTGTAAAAGGAAGTGGAGAAGGGTCTGCGTTGTGTCTGAAAAAGGCATACGATTGCCGTGATAAAGAGGTTGTTTCCCCTGTTGTAGTGGATGGAGAGTTGGATTGGGATGCAATGGAGATATTGTTGCATCATTTGGAGGAGGTGTTACTGCTAGGTTCAAAGGATCTGCATACTCCATTATTGTTAACAGAAAAGGCGCTTGTGCCACGGGCACAGCGAGAACGATTGGCGGAAATATTAATAGAAAAACACTCCGTTACTTCTCTCTATTTTGCCCCAAGTCCTGTTCTTTCTTTATATGCGGAGGGTACTTGCACGGGTGTGTGTGTGGAGATGGGCCACGATGCCTCTCACGTGGTTCCTGTATTTCAGGGTTTCCCGTTATTTCATGCCATCCATGCCCTCCCCTACGGTGGGCGGTTCCTCACGAATTACATGATGGACACCGAGCCGCCCCTCCCCGCCCTCGTCCACCCCAGCCACCACGTCGACATCTGGAAGTATCTGAAGGAGAAGTACTGCGAGACGTGCCCGAGCGCCGCCGTCTTCGCGAGTCTGCGGAACGGCGCCGAGGAGGCCGGCGGGGTCCGGCGCGACGTCACCCACCGGCTGCCGGACGGAACAGTCGTGACGCTCGGCCCCAACCGCCTCGTCCCCGCGGAGTTGTTCTTCGACCCCGACCTCCGCCCCCCGCCGGCGGACCCCGCGGCGATAGAGGCCGTCGAGCGGCTCCCCACCACCCACACCAACGCAAACAGCACCAACGTCGCCGTTCCATCCACATTGCACAAACTCATCGCAGACTCTATCGCGAAGTGCGATCGTGATTTAGTCCCAGGAATGTATGCCGGTATACATCTCGCAGGAGGTACCTCACGTCTACAAGGGCTCCCAGAACGACTCGAAACGGAGCTCGTTACTCACACCGATGGCGATCCCGTCATTACTGCAAGTTCAGAGCGCCGCAATGCCGCCTTCGTTGGTGGATCTATTCTGGCATCACTACCAACGTTTCAAGATTTTTGGGTTACGCGGGCTGACTATGATGAGTGTGGTGTCGCTGCTGTTCTTCGTCAGTGTTTCTAGGAATTTATGCTTACAACTCACGGAATGGGAAAATGGAGGAGAAAGAAAGAAAGGAGTTGATAAAGTTTCCCAACTCATCACCATTAGATATATGCAAATGCGATATATATTTACGTCATTCTGGGGGTGTGAGTGTAAATTTTGTGTGTAGTTTGATTGCAATATATGTACAGGATAAAATAAAGAATGCAAGTTGAATTCCTTTGTCACTATATTTTTTTTTTTTCTTTTTCCCTTTCATCTGGGGTTAAATTTTGTATGCATAATTTTCTATTATGCACTTTATGCTACTGTAGATTTCAAAAATAATTTTCTTAACTTTTTTTTCTTTTTGTTCTTTTTTTCTTTTTTTTTTTCTTGTTTTGGTCGGGCGGGTGGGGTATCTCTTTTTTTCTTTCTTGTTTTGTGCATTGTCATCGTCTCAATGCAACACAACATCTTACCATTTATACCATGATATGCCCTTTATCTTTGTTTACTTGTGTGATAACTGTAAACAAAAAAAAAATTATTAGACGATAGGATCGTCTTATCCAGCGAGCAAATACACAAACTCACCTTTGAATGGAGCCACTTGCAGCTGCCAGGGTGAGGAAACCACAACGTACCAGCTCTGTGCCAGGTAGTCTGACACGCGCTGCATATAGACGTAGTTTACCGTCCTCATTTGTGGATGCTTTATACGCTGCCCGAGAAAAATTTGAATGCTTTAAAAAGACTCCACAATGCAAAACTATCATGAGACAAACCCCAGAGATGATTAGTACTGGCACACAGACGGTTGACATCATTTTGCAGCAGGAAGATCAACAACAACACCAACAACCGTCAAAAAATTTGGGGTCAAATTTGAAAAAAATTATTCCGTCAAATGTGAACGCGAGAAATGGTTTTGGTACTTCCACAGAACGCGGGCCTGTTACAGATGTAAGTCCTGCTACTAGTAATTCTACCAACACTCCTACTCCCATTGCTACTCTCACTAATACCAATACCAATACTACTACTACTACTACTACTACTACTACTACTACTACTACTACTACTACCACTGGCGCTATTTGCATTCCCTATGATCCAGAAATCACACCACTTGCTATGAAGCGAAAAAGACATGTAGTGAATCAATGCCCGGAGAAAATTGCCGTATTTCTTAAGGATCTCTGTGAAACTGTTGCGAAAGCAGTAGCTGAAGCTCCTCCACATACTGCAACTGTTTCCACTGCACCTTCAGCACCATCGACGGGAGGATCTACAAAACCTAAAGGCGGTGGTGGATCACAATATAATTCCCGAACATTTGATGCCCTGAAAGAATTATGGGAAGATCGACGAGATGCACCCATCACTGTTTCAACTGCACTTGGTCGTCAACGTGGTCTCTTTGGTGGGGTGGAGCGGAAAGAACTTCATCATCTTGTTATCTCTATCCTTAACAGGGTATCAAACGACGCTGAAAAATACCGTGAAGTGAAGAATGAACTTTTGCGGCTACCTATCCCTGAGGCGAATGATGCTACATTGGCAAAGATTGTTAATGTATTTTTCACAAAAGCGGTGAGGGAGCAGCACTTTTCCAGTTCATACGCTGACTTAGTTGCGGCACTCTGTAAGGTGCCGGAGGGACAGAAAATAATAGGTGATAAGGCACAAAGCCTCGAATACCGTCTACGGCAACAACTCCTCCACCGCTGTCAAGCTGAATTTCGACAGTTGGAAGAGCAGAACATAGAACGTGCAGAACAGGGCGGTGAGGACCGCACCACACAATTTGCAGAGGAAAGTTTTAAGGAGAGACGTGATCGTGTCTGCGGTATTGTACAGTTTGTTGGTCAACTCTACCTGCGGCATATTGTCACTGAAAAGGTGATTGAGGATATTCTCGTTACAGCCTGCGCTGGGTTGTACCGTCGTGAAGGAATTCGCATCCCACCGCCTTATAAACCAACAGAAGCACAAATGGATGAAACGATTACACTACTCGCTATTGTTGATAATGTTTTCTTCCACACCGCATTAGGGTCAGCAATGTTACCAGAATACACTAAACTTTTGGAATATTGGACTACATATCACCCTGTGCCCCGCATTAGATTTCTTCTCCTTTCCGTCATTGAGAGACTTCATAAGATATTGGCAGAACGAAACGCCGCTTTAGCAGCATCACGACAAGAGCAGCAGCAACAACAACAACAACAACAACAATCTGTGCTGGAAAAGCCATCACCATCATCACAATCACTTCATCCTACACCACAATCAACTCCACGACCACAACCATCATCCTCATCATCATCACCACCACCACCAGCAGCAGCAGCACAACAACAACAACAACAACAACAACAACAACGGTCACCACCACCACCATCATCATCTTCCTTACCAATACAGCCATCCCCATCTCCATCTCCAACTCCAACTCCACAACCGCAGCCACTACAACAACAACAACCACAGGGTCTTTCAGAGTCAAGACGAGTGGGTAATAGCTCTGTTTCTGTACGACCTCTTGGTCTTTCGAGTGAAGAGAGTTCTTTTGCATCCACTAGTGGACGAAATCCAATGACGGCATCAACTGACATGTCACCAAAAACCAAGCCACCGGTGTATGTGGGCGGTAAGCCCATTCCAGCCCCTCGCAGTGCAGCTTCCCGCCACGGCAGTGTGACGCTAGGTGCTTCAGTGAATTCCGTCGGAAGTTCAAGTGATTCAGCTGTAAAACAAATGGCAACCACTGAGAACGTAGCCCGCTATATGCAGAACGTATCTCTCTCAAGCCACAGCGTGGATGAGGTAACAGAGGAAATTATGAACAATTTTGTGAGTGTCACGGCGGTGGTGGAAGTGTGGACCGAGCGCTGCCTAAGGGTTGTAAAGGCAGTACGGGACCGCGCAGTTTATGGTGCTTTCCTTGCCGCTCTTAACCGTTATCATAAACTAACACTTCGGGCAGAGTTGCGCCGTATTGCCATGTCTGTCTTTGTTCACGCTGTGCGGGAGAAGCTGCACGAGGATCTCGCTCTCTTTAGGTACTGGACAGAGATGATATGCAGCGATGCGGCTCGTGAGGTACTGGATGAGGGATTACTGAATGAGGGACTGGAGTATCTGTTGGAAAATGATACCCCCGCTGTTCGATTATACCTCCGTGATGTGGCGCGACAGATGAACACACTGACATCAGGCGCTACCAACACAGCAGGATCAACCACTGTAGCGCAGCAACAACAACAACAACAACAACAACCTCAGTGGAGGCCAAGTGATGAAGCAACTAACTTTGTGCGTTACCGTCCGCTTCATGTTGTTCACTATCATAATACAAACCGTAAGCATGATTATGAACTTAATACAGTAAATTTTCCCGATGTACGTCTCGCTAGTGTTGAGATTGATGTTTTTTGTGCGTTGCTTACTGGTACGCCGTCAAAAGAGCGATTGTTTGATACTTTACGTGGCTCACCACGACTACGCTCACCTTTGGTAGCACCTGAAGTTCTAAGTGCCATTTTACACGCAGAGTTATGCAGAGATATGACAGCGTTTGTGGAAGACAATTTAGATCTTCTCTCTCTTGTTAGTGATGGGGCTGAGCGTGAGACTCGTGAAATGTTGCTGGTTGCAGAGTTGTACATTACATTGAAGAATGACCCGGCAGAGGGCTCTTGGCCGCTTTCTGCAGGTTCACGTGTGATGGCGAAGTTGGGACGGTGTATTATCTCCGATGAAACTCAACTGCGGGCGCAGAAGTACTTTGGGCCACGTGATGAACACGCACATCACTACATTGGCACACAGCCAGCACAACTTCAACTTCGACAAGGAGGAGGAGGTGGAGGAGTTGGTAGTAGTGGTAGTGTCAACGGCAACAGCGGCAGTAACCAGAGTATCCACGGAAATAGCAATAATACGAGTCACAATAATAGCACCGTCAGCGCTACTTCTCGTCGAGCCATGGTCCAGCGTCGGTAATGTAGTGTAGAAAAAAAATATAGACAACCAGAGAAGAGATTGAGGTTATTATTATTATTATTATTTTATTTTTTTTTCCTTGTTTCTTTTTTTTTTTTTTTTGGAGAAAAGAAAAGAGAATGACACGACAGCGCAACGAGTAAGAGGACTGCTACTGCGGGTTCATCACGAGATGTAGACACAGAGAGAAGAAAAGGAGGAGGAAGAAAGAAAAGAGACAGTGTACGAGAGGACCGTGCAGACAGGGCTCATGAACTGGTGGGAGGGAAAGAGAGGAAAAAGAAAGAAAGAAAGATGTGAGTTTAAGTAAATTGGGCTTCTGGAATTGTCATTATTCTGGAAAATGGAAAGAAGAACGAAAAAATAAAGAATGGGATAAAAAAAAGAAAACGAAAAATAACGAAAATAATGAGACAGAATCACTAACTCACAGGAGAAACAGGAACCGACGGTTGGCAAAGCAAAATGAAAGGGGAAAAAAAAACGTATGAAGAGGAAAAAAAAAGAAAAAAAAAAA